CCTTGGAAACCCAAGGAGGGGTCGCTATGAGTCGGGGCCGACTCGACGGCACATAACAACAACAACAACAACAACAACCTTCCTTAGCCTTTAAGACTCCTTTGAGAAACTAATAAAAAGACCATATTCCCAGAAAGATACCTATGCATATAAAATTTTATATTTAAGACTCTGGCATTAGAGGTGTAACTATGAACTGGGACTTGTAGGACAAGGCCTTCCATTCTTGAGCTCTGAGATAGAAATAGCTGGGACACAATATTAACACTACTGCCAGATTAAGCATAGGAGTAACTTGCCACTTTCTTTTTCCTTCAGTCCCAAGTACTCTTGGGACCCTAACAGGCATGGCAGTCACAGACAAGGATTTGAAACAAAGTGAAATAACATGTTCAGAACCTGGTATGACTTTGAGAGATAAAATACCTTGAACAAGCTATTTATCCAGGCTTTATTTTGTTATCTCTGTATCGCTATGAGAAAATAAAGAGCTTTAGAAGTTATAAGTGCTTTTACTAGTTATATCTCAGAAATACATCACAATCATTTTTTGAGCATCTCTTGTGTGCCAAGCCCTGAGAGGACTTGAAAGATAAATATAGTCCCTGAAATCAAGAAGCTTGAAATCTAAAATCAGAACAAAACACTTTTTCCTGATATTTTCAGCTGCAAATAAAAAACTGACTGAAAGTGGCTTAAACAATAAGGAAATATATTATTGTTGTTTGTTGTTGTTATGTGCCATCGCTCATAGCGACCCCTCCTTGGGTTTCCGGGGCAGTATCACTACGGAAGTAGATTGCCCCATCTTCCTTCCAAGGAGTGTGGCTGGTGGGTTTGAACCGCCAACCTTCTGGTTAGCAGTCAAGTGCCTTAGCCACTATGCTACCAGAGCTCCCAAGGAAATATATTACTTCACATAATAGGACGTTTAGAGACAGGGCTGACTCCAGGATTGATAGATTTGGGCCTCAATATCAACAAGGAGCTCTGGTAGCATAGTGCCTAAGGCACTTGACTACTAACTAGAAGGCTGGCGTTCAAACCCACCAGCCATTCCTCTGAAGGAAGATTGGGAAATCTACTTCCCTAGTGATACTGCCTCAGAAACCCAAGGAGGGATCTCTATGAGTCAGGGCCAACTCAACGGCACATAACAACAACAACAATAACATCATTCAATTAGGAGCTCTGGTAGCTTAGTGCCTAAGGCACTTGACTGCTAACCAGGAGGCTGGTGGTTCAAACCCACTAATCACTCCTCAGAAGGAAGGTTGGGCAACCTACTATCCATAGTGATACCGCCTCAGAAACCCAAGGAGAGGTCGCTATGAGTCAGGGCCGCCGACTCAACAGCACATAACGACAACAACATCATCAAGACCCCAGGTTCCTCTCATCTCTCTGCTCCGCTTTGTCAGGCTGAGAGCAAGTTGGTACCTGTAGCTGTCCTTAGAGTCATATCCAGATGTAACTATCTAGAACCAGAAAGGGTTGTTTCTTCCATTTTCCCTTTTAAGACATGGGAATCTTTCTTTCTTTTTATTTTAGCTCAATGAATTTTTTGTTTGTTTGTTTTTAATTGTGATTTGGGTGAAAGTTTTCAGAGCAAATTCATTTTCCAGGCAACAGTTCATACACATTTTGTTTCATGACATTGACTGCAATCCTTTTAATATAACAGCTCTCTTCCACTTCCTCCCTGTGGTTACCTTTTCCCTATGTCCTTTCCTATGCATTCCTGCCCTCTGAGCTATCCCTGTGCAAATACTGCCCTTCTGATCTCCCATAATTGATTGTTCTAAGGAGTGTACATACCTGGTGTAAATGTTCAAGTTATATGCCTATCGTTTGCCTGGAAGCCACGGGAGTGAGTTCAATTCCAGTCCCAAAGGGTAACTAGAGGCCATAGTCTCAGGTGTTTCACCAGTCTCTGTCAGACCAGTAAGCCTGGTCTTATATATTTATTTATTTTTATTTTTGCAGTGTTTCCTAAGCCTGGTCTTTTTTATGATTTAGAGTTTTGTTCCACATTTTTCTCCCACTCTATCCAGAATCCCTGTACTGATGACATGGAAATCTTTCTAAGAATCCTCCCAGCAGACCTCCTTCATGTGTCATTGGCCAGAAATGTATTACATGCCCACTCCTAAATTAATCACAGGTACATGGATGGAACTACTCTGATCGGACTGCCAATCATCTGGGATGGGATGGATGTTGAGGAGTCAACTACAAGGTCTACTATAGACACACTCAATGAATATCAGATCATATGTGATAAGTTCAAATTTATTACATATCAGAGGAAGAGGAAAATAATTCCAGAAATTACTTGCATGAAAATGGGGCCATGTTCAGGGAATAGCCAAACACCCAGTGG